AAACAATTTTGGGCTAGAGAATAGCCAGACACCCAAGCAAGAAATTCATCACTGGGTACAACTCTCCTTTCACTTGCTGACTTACTGAGTAATGCTTATGGAAATAAACTTAGAAGAATATATGGTATGTTAAGTTAGCGGAATGGATGCTGCCTGCAGGCTATTGCAGTCATTCTTGCTGACATTATCCTGTTTCTATCAGATTGGCTATGTCGCTCCCAGTATTTTGTGGTAGGGTTTGCCTTACAGGAGGAGTTCTTGCTGAAAGGAAGCTGGAAAACAGTAAGCTGTGATGTCGACAGAGGGACATCACCTCAAGCAGTGTCTGCTGCTCCGTTGGGGGTTTTTTGTGTTTATGTCAGTGCATCTAATAAAAATATTGTATTTACTGGTCTCAGACAGCTGCAGCAGGAACTTAGGCGTTCCCTCTAATGTTCAATGAGTATGATTCCTTCCCCCACAAATTACTGCACATCATCTGTGTGTGTCTGCATAGCCTGGTTTTCAGGCTGTAGGTGTTGCCTGCACTGCAGCTAAGAGGTGTGAGTGCAGCATGCTGAGGCCTACCGGGCTAGCTTTAATCTAATTAGCTTGTGTAACAATATTAGTGAAGATGTCATAGAATGAGCTTCAGTAAATAAATGTATGCTGATGTGAAAGCCTGCTAGGAATCATCAGGATATCCCTGGGTGGCCAGCAAGTACAATGTACAAATTTTAAAAACTCTTCCCAAGGGCTATTGAAGCAACAGCTTGGCAAATGGTTCAAAGCCCCAAATCATCCCACAGATAGTTTTCACTTTTCCCTGTAAAACAATTTTAATATATTATATAAATTAACTGCTTGTCAAGATCAAATTTTAGCTGGAAAAAAGTTTTAATTTCCTCCCTGTGGTTTCCCAGTCTTTGAAGATCTGCAAGCATGGCTATCTCAGCTACAGCCAAACCCTCTGTTTTAGCTGGCTCCATCATAACAGTCACATCTGTCAGAGCAGGGTTCTTCTGTCTGCTTAGTGCTGCCTACAGAGTTTCATTACTGGTAGCCTGAGTATCACCATTTTCATTCTTGGATGGTAGAAGAGTAACACAAGCAGATTAAATTGACTCTGGGTCCTGAGTTGCTGCGTGTTCTTTTGTGAAGAGGAGACAGCCCACTGGCTTAGTGAGAAGAATTAGAAAATTAACTCATAAATAGAAGAGGTAATTGGAAGAAAAAAGCTGGTTACTGAACCAAAGGATATAGACCTTTAAAGCTTTAAACCCAAAAGACAGTCCTGAGAGGGAGCAGTAAATCTAAGTTAGGCAGACAGTATAGGAAAAATATTATCACTATTGTCAAAATAAGAAAATATACCTGAGGGGAAAAAAAAGATGGTTGAAAAGCACATCCTAGCTCATTCCACAAGGTTCATCCTTACAATATTGCTTATTAAATTGTTCTGTGAATAAGCATTACTGGACAGGAGCATCGCCCCTTACTTTTGCTCTTGTATGGCTGAAAGACGCTGAAGGTTGGCTGCAGCAGCAAAAGCAGCAGAACCCAGCATCTCTCCAGTTACAACCCTTACACTCGGACCGCTTTGTCTAGTCAGGAAAATCTGCTCTGTGTAGATGCTCAGGCAGTGCTATACAAAATACCAGTGGATGTTAGTATTAGAGCTGCAGAGAGAATAGAGGACACGGGTTCCTCTTCCACAGGTCAGGCTTTGTTGGGAGTAACAGGCAGATGCAGTCAATGTCAAGGGTTAGTGAATACTGGGAGGGAACCACCCTAACTAGGGTATCCTTCAGATAAGATTATATTCTTCTTGCTCCTGCTTGAACTCCCAGAGAGGCAATTGTGTTTCTTGGGCTTGGAGACAAACTCCTGAATACCATGATTTGCCCAATCCCTTCATTTGCAGTAATAAAGAGGTGCCTTGTGCTTAAACATAGGATGTGAACTAAAAAGTCTCGTTCTGAAACAGATTTTCTGCTTGACCTTGAACATTTAATCGCTCCTTGCTTGTTTTCTCATCTGTACAGTTAATAATGTTTATCGACCACACAGGGGGTTGTAAGGTTAAATTAATTAATGTTGTAAGGCACTTTGATTATCTTACATAAAAAGTTTTCTAGAAGTATGAAGCATAACTATTTATTATTTGCATTTTCTTCACATTTTATTCATGCCCTGTCAATTCTACTTCAGATTTTTCTTCAAAATTATTTGTCCTAATCATCTCAGTTGGGTGAAAAAGAAGAAATTGATAAAAACTAATGATTGCGTAGAAACTAATGCTTGGAGAGACTGGTCTAAATTTCTTAATTTTAAGCATACTTCCTCACAACTAACATGCACACAGATCTTCCTGAACAGTGTTTCTTCTCTTTGGTGACTTTCCAGTGTGGTCTTTTCTCCTTTATATACAGTTTAAGGTCTCCATGAACTTACATA